CCACGGATTTGCCCGAAATGGATTTGCACATGGAAAATTGTATAAATTAATAAAGAAATTTTTAGCAAACAATTTTACCCACGGATTTGCCCGAAATGGATTTGCACATGGAAAAATTGTATAGATTAACAAAGGAAATTATTTAGTAAAGGAATTTTTAGTAAATAATTTTAACCACGGATTTACCCGAAATGGATTTGCACATGGAAAAATTATACAAATTAACAAAGAAATTATTTAGTAAATAATTTTGGCAATAGATTTATTACAAATAACAAATTCTTAGTATTATTTCAGAATCAAAATCTAATCAAATAAAATATAAAAAAGTTGAATTAAATTGGTGAGTAGTTCACAATAAATGAAAATTAAGGAAAGAAATACAAAAAATGAAATTTAAAAACTTACTAATTTTTGTTATTTTAACTTTATTCTTAGTTTTATTTATTTTTGAGTTTGATTTATTACTTAATTTATTCTTTCAAATATACTCTAGTTGGTAGAATTATATAAAATTAATTTATTTAAGAATTATGTAGTTGTGCCATCTGTTAGCTAAAATGTGTATAATTTTTAAATTTTTAGGGATATTCATCTAATTTAATTAGTAATATTTCTTAAATAATATTTACTGAAAGGTATGTTTAAATATATAAAAAAATTTTAAAAAAATCTTCGATTAATCCATAAAATATTTATTGAAAATATCAATCGTTACAAAAGTTATTTATGAGAAGTAGAGACAGCAAAATTACCCAGTATTTCAAAAATTATATTGACTTGTACTTGACAAGTGCAATAAGCTTAAAAGACTGTTGTTTTTTTTTCCATTAATATTCTTATACTTTTTTTTAGTTAATATAATTTTCTTCTTTCTTATGGTCATTTTTACATAGGTTTTGTATAAAATCGAATTGAATTTTGAAGTCGTATTTTTAAAAATCGATTTTTCGGGAGCTTCAACTGATTTTGCTCAAAATTCGTATTTTGTCATGTACATACTTCAAAATGATGCAAAAAACTGCATACTTCGGAATAAAAATATTTTTGGACCATTATTAAATAAAATAATAAATATTTACTTAAAATTCATTTTTCGTGTAGAATTATCTTTGGACAGAAGAATTTTATAATTGTGCGCCGAAAATTTTTCAATTCTCGAAAAAAAAATGAGAAAAGAAATTCTGGAGATATGGCAAAATACGCGAAAGGTAAAATTCACGATAAGGGGTCAAAACTTTGGATCGCACTCATGACCAAACTACAGGAACCATGTTTCCCAGATTGTAGCTATCCCCTATATTTTGGGGGTCAGAAATCCTAATCCGTCGAAAAAAAGTAAAGGTATAAAGGCCGGATAAACTATTGATTTAAGCAAGATTAAATTGATAAACAAATCTATTTCAAAGGTATGATAAAGAAAGCACTTGAAAATTGTTTGCAATTAAAATAAATAAATAAAATAAGAAATAAAATTTCAGATTACCAAGGACGCCGGCAGAATAATATAAATGGGGGTGCAACCCTCTAACAAACTAGCCCCCTCCCCAACCAAAAAAAATTTAAAATGTTCTGTTATTACATTTTGTTTTGTTATGACATACTTTTATCTGTTCATTTTTTTCAAGATGCATTTCTTCATTGTTAACAAGATTTTTTTTTTTTAAATATAAGTACGGATTTCTTGTAGTTGCAAATTTTACCACGAGAAACTGGCACTGCCATAGCTACTGACTTTGAAACACAAATAACTACAAACAGAAATTTCGTGTACTAACGTGTTTGCGCACGCATTCTTATTTATTGTGTTGATGAAGTTTTACAGTTGTGAGAAGTCAGTTTGTGTTATACNTGAAGAAGAGCGTGATCCTTTTGTTCTGAGAGTTAGAGGACTGCCTTGGTCTGCATCCAAAGAAGATATTGTGAAATTTTTTAGTGGTAACTGTGACTCCTCTAATCCATCCTCTACTCATTTTCTACCATTACTGTGAATAATGATTAATTTTTAGATTGTATGTTTTGTATCACATTTAATGCTATTTAACGTTCTAAAGAAAAATCTTTACAGTTGACAAGGGCACCGGCAGAATAATATAAAAGGGGGTGCAACCCTCTAACAAACTACCCCCCTCCCCCACCAAAAAAAAATTAAATATTCTGTTATTACATTTTGTTTTGTTATTACATGTACTTTCATCTGTTCATTTTTTTCCAGATGCATTTCTTCATTGTTAATCAGATATGTCTTTTTTAAAACATTTTGAAACACAAATAACTACAAACAGAAATTTCGTATACTAACGTGTTTGCTTAACATTGGTATTTATTGTGTTGATAAAGTTTTACAGTTGTGAGATGTCAGTTTGTGTTATACACCTTTGTTAAACTAAATAACTAATGGAAAATATATTATTTATACTCTATTAAATGAAACTTAAAAAGATAGCTTAGATATCTGCCAAGTTTGTGCATGCTAAGTGTGCATAAGAAAAGAATCAAACATGATTCAGAATTAATTGAAAAAGTTATAAACAGAATTGGACAGCAAACAAGACGATTACAATTATTGTTTGATTAAACAAATTTTTATTTGTTATATATCAATAATTACTTAATTATTTGTTTAGGAATAAAAATATTTTTAATAAAAAAATTGTGTAACGAAATTGTTTTTCTGTATCTCTTTAATTGTTTTAAAAATAATCCAGGGGGTGTAAGTACACCTTGCACCCCGCTGCCGGTGCCCTTGAGCGCTACACTTTAAAAGAATTTAAACGACTCCTTTTCTTAAATGTAATTCTTTATTGATTATCATCAGTATTATAACTTAAGTAAAAATTAATAATGAAAGGTGATAACTTAAATAAAAAATTAATAATGAATTAATAATTTCTCTTGTTCCTTTTTTCTATTTCATTGCATAATAAATTGTTGCGACTTGAATTTATAAATCCAAAGTGAAACTTGATGCTACAGGAGCCTTAGATGCTACTACATAATTATCACGTTGATTGTGACGTAACTTTCGTAGATTATCTCACTTTATTGAGATTCATTGTTTCGAAAGGAACTCTTTCATTTAGATAAGAGATTATCACACGACAGATGAAAGATTTCCACATTATTATTGAATATTGGAGTCGGTTGTTCAGCGAAGTCTTGAACGGTGAATGTAGCAAAATAAATGGAATGGGTAATAAAACAAACAGAACGAGCAACATAACAAATGGAATGGATAACGAAAGTCAACCTATTATAAAGCTTAAGATTGGCGTAGTAGGAGAAGCCTGTGAGTAATCTCACTTTTTTTATATTGACAATTAAATATTATTTTTTGCAATTAGGATTATGTCACTTTTTTTCTACAAGAAATTAACAATTCTTTTAAAAGTTAAAAAAAAATTATAAGAAAGTTTAAAAAAAAACAAGATCCTTACCAAGATAAAAAAACAAGTGCTTAAATGTACAGTGTTCAAAATAAAAAATGGACCACCCTGAATAACTTTTGATTTAATCATCGGATTTTCACGTTCTCTGAATAAACATACCGTTTTTTCGACGGATTTGGATTTTTGACCTCCGAAATATAGGGGATAGCCGTAATCTTGGAAATGTGGCCTTCATACTTTGATCACGAGAGAGGGCAAAATTTTAGACCCCTTAATGTTAATTTCATTTTTTGTGTATTTCTCCATATCTTGAGAACTTTTTAAGCAAATTGAAAAAATTTTGTACGCAATTATAAAATTTGTTTATCCAAATATAATTCAACTCAAAACATGACTTTAAGCACATATGTTTTTTTATTATTTCATTTGATTATAATTGAAAAAAAATTGTAAGGTATAAAATTTTTTACAGCATTTTAAAAGATGTAATTTTTACATGGCGAAATACAAAATATGAGTTCCTGAGAAATCAAATTTTAAAATACGGCTTCTCCAAAATTCAATTTCTGAGGAATTACTTGATCGGCTTTGCTCAAATGTTTTATTTTGCTATATAAAAGTACATTCTTTAAAATGATGTAATATCTTAAATTCCTTACAATTAAAATTTCTTTTGACCATATTTTTGCATACGTGTCACTGTTAAATAAAATAATAAGAAATATTGCAGGAAAGTTATATTTTGCATGGAATTATCGTTGGATAAACGATTTGTATCATTGTGTGCAAAATTTTTTCATTTCGCTTAATAATTTCTGGAAACATGGCGAAATATGCAAAAAGTAAAGTTAACATTAAGAGGTCTAAACTTGGACCGCTCTCCTAACTAGACTGTGGGGACCATATTTTTAAGATTACAACTACCCCCTATATCAGGGGTGGCGAACCTTTATACACCAACGTGCCATTTTCTCTAAAAAAATTGCTTAATGAGGTTATAGACGTGCCGTCAAATAATTTTGACTTCATGATTATTGGCAAAATAATAATACTAAATACTATCAACTCAAATCTCTTTATTTACATTGAAAAAAAATACATTTTACAATATCTCAGTTATACGAGTAATTCAACTTTCAAGTAACATCAGTGTGACTTCTGTTGTTGCAGATTAGATGACAAATAACTTATATTAGGTTGTAAGATGTTAGTTTAAGTAGGACTGTTAATTTTTGTTTTGCTAGTTATTTATTGTTAGCTTGTTTTTTTATGGCTATTAATTGTTATTTTAGCATTAATTTTTTTATTAATAATTGTTTATTTTTTGTGAATTTTAATTTAATTGTTACATATGCTTCATAGTGTAACAACAATTGGGATCGGTGGAGTGCCCAAAATATTGTGCCGCGTGCCATTGGTTTGCCATCCCTGCCATTGGTTTGCCATCCCATTATTTGGGGGAGTCAAAAATCTTTATCTGTCGAAAAAAGTTATTTAGACTAGGTACGTTTTCGAATCTGATTACCGTCTACACTAATTAATTAACACATATTTCAGATTACCCCCACGATAATCATTAAAATTGAGTCCTAGGAAGTGAAGATCCGATCATTAGATCAAAAGTTATTCACCGTGGCCATTTTTTATTTTGCGCTCTGTACACAAATATCTTTTGAAGCTAATGACGGCTATTAAGCAGATAAATTATATAATATAAGTTTAAATACATAAAGAAGATCTAGATATCTGTACCTTGCCATAGCCTAAAATTAATAAAAGTTTCTTACACGTATATTATTTACTTATCCTTTATTTTACAGTATTTACCGGAAATATTTATTAATCTTCCAAAAATTTGTCTGTCCACATTAAATTACAATTTATATAAAATGCGTTTTAGTTAAATTTGGCATCAAATATTTGTGATGCGTAAAGCACAGAAACAAAGTAAGCAGAATAACTAGTCCAATTCGAATATAAGGATGAATACTAACTTAGAGTTCATAAATTATAAAATAATTTAAAAATGTAGAATGCGCGCTTGACGTCATGTCGCTTCATTACTCTCCTTCCAGTAAAAACCTCATTCGAATGTATTGAGAAATTTAGATGGACTTTAGTAGGTCTCCCAACACGTAATGTCTTGTTGGAAACAGCCTTCTGTAACGGTTCATTAGAAAAGTAATCATTTTCACTTTAATATTTGGAGCAGCCTTACTTATGAATGTCTGATGGTATGCTGACTGTGAATATTAGAACAAGTGTTCTTCTTCAAGTCTGCAAACTGTTTCAAACGATTTACAGATATGTTTTTGGAATTGCTAATGTTCTAATATTTGTAACTTTTAATGTTCTGGGGATGTTCTTCAAAGGTCCAATTATGTCAAGATAAATTTTGTCGAATCTTCCTTCCATTGGTAAATACCTCCCAAGCGATTTATATACGTGTCGCTGTATCTTGGGACTTTGACAAGATAGACAGGTTTTAATGAATTTCTTGACATCTTTGTACATCGAAGGCCATGTAAGTTCTTTGACCCTAATTGTGTTATTGCTCGAGCTCCTTGAGAACATATATTACTTTTCGAAAACAATTGGAGACATACATGGTTGTGGTTTTCGGGAAGAAATATTGTAATATTAATAGAAATACAAACTTAGAGATCATAAATAATAATAAAAGCAGAAAACGTGATTTTATGTCTTAAATGTGTGTACTCAGATATGTAACGTAAGAATGTTTGCTTGCGTAATTCGCTGTTTTTTGCTCAACTCTCATCTATATTGCTTACAAGGATTATGTGTTTTTTCGAGTTGTTACTCGCTCAAACATTAACACCCATTGTACAAATTATAGTATCGCAAGGATTGTCAAAAGTGTATAGTTATATTTTCCGAATCAATCTAATTTCTACATTGGTATATAATATTTCTTTACCCAAAATAAAATGTAACATCATTCACAATAATATCGTATTCACTTATCGTTTTATTATAATATTTACAATATCCTCATATTCAATGCACAGATGTGTATTATCCATAGTCGATGACCTGTGTATACCAGAACCTATCGTTGTCTAATATATATAATGGAAAAAAATATAAATAATTGAATAGAATGTAAGTAATAAAAAGAATAGAATATAAATAATAAAAAGAATAGAATATTAAAAATAGAATCAAATAGAAATAATAAAAAGAACAGAATATACATAATAGATGTAGTTATTGATGAACTTTGGCTTCATAGTTCCAATAACTTATAAGTATTATTTAAAAGAATTATGATGATAATACCTTTAAAGGATCCCTTGTATTATTATCGTTTAAAGGACCTTTAAAGAATAATAATATAAGGGATCCGATTTTCAACGGGATTTTGGAAAATTTCTCCGATTGGTAGTTAAATTTTAGTTTTAAAGTATGCATCATTCTTTGTTTCATAAAACTGATGTAAAGTTATCTCTCGTAACAACTCCAGCTCTCTCGTACGGTAAATAACTGATGTAAAGTTATTTCCCGTACCACTACATGTAAATGTATTTGAAATGCCACTTAGTTCCAGCTCTCTCGTACGGGAATGAGGCAAAGTTATTTCCCGTATCACTACATGTAAATGTATTTGGAATGCCACTTAGTTCCAGCTCTCTCGTGTTGAGGCTCTTAAAATTTTGGCAAAATTACCAAAAATTATGATTGAAAGATGTAACTTGTTGTTTAGACAGATACATAGTTTTTAATTTTCTACCACTCGTAAAACGCCCCTAGCAACAATTTACCACGGCCACTTATGTTCAAAATTTGGTCAAAATGGGTCCTATAAGAACACGCACTGCGGTACCAATATTGGGATGTCTAGATTTTATTTTATTTTATGACCGCCGTTGAACAGTCGACCCAATTTTTGGGTTTACGACTACAAATGTTCAACGCCGAAGCCTTGCAATTTTGAACCAATCCAGAAGACAAGGAAACTCCTGGATCGGTACCCCCAGAGGTATTGATTTGTTATGGGAACATGGAGGACTTTGAGACTCGACAGATTTAACGTGCATCAGTCACCATTTACTACATGGGGAGTCTTTGACCGGCGGGGACCGAACCCACGAACTCTTGGACATATACCCGGCACTCCACTGACCAGGCTATCCCGGCCTGGGATGTCTAGATTGTTTTTAATATTGGTCCAAGAATGGCCTATATATGGTCTACATGGGCCAATATAGAATCTAACATTGGCTAAATAATGGATAAAGCATATCGGGAGAATTTGACAATTCTATATAGGACCGATGCCGGTGTAAAGTGGCTGTAAAATATCGGGTAAATCGGAAAATTCAATATAGGGCAGTATCGGAAAAATTAAGGCCCTTTGAACCCTTACTGAGCCAAGATTCATGAATGTTGGCCCAGTGAGGGCCCAAGTTGTTTTGCTGCGAGGGGTGTAGTAGTCAGCCCTGATATCCAACCTGACATCCAACCCTGACAGCCAAATTCGTGATCGAAAAGCAATTAATTATTATTATTATTAGTTAGTATTAATTTGTTTTAGTATTAGAGTTTAATTATACTACGAGGATTAAACATTTCTATTTTGTTCTCAGTTTCACTAATTTGTTTTGACAAGCAAGAATAATTATTTATTACCTATTATTTCTTTTAAATTTCAGACGTAGGAAAAACATGCTTGGTTCGAACATATATCACTGGAAAATTCGAAGGTAATTTACATAGAAATTTATTTTTATTTAAGCATATTTTATTTAATTAATTTAAAAAAAAATAATTTTAAGATAATAGCTTAGTATTCTTATTGTCAAGTATGATACATTCATTTTTTTAAAAATAATATTCATGATAATGTATGTTGATTGAATGAACTGAGCAATAGTGCTATTTGTGTGACGTATGAAAATTCGTTTGAATTCACCTTAAGGAATAATTTATTGTACAGTAAAAAAAAAAAAAAAAAAGGTTTAATCTTGACATCTAAAATAAAATCCTATCCCTCGAAATACTGCTAAGAAAGTGATAAAAATTGCTGACATCTTGAAATTTAGTCAGATGAAGATGATTATTCCTATTTTAAAAAATGTGAAAGTTTTTCACAAGCTTAATCAATCTTCTTGATCACCCTACATTCTGGAGAATTTTGAAAATAGAGATGAGCCTCACAGAGCTTACTCTTCAAAAGATACAAGACTTCTGCATCAGTAAACTGAATAAGTTCAAATAGATTTTTTTCTGACTAACAAACTACTCAAAAATTTGTGAATTACCTGAAAATCCAATTGTACTAAAGTTAAATTTACTTGAGTTATTTACCCCCACATAAATTCATTGCAGGAGCGCTGTGCATTGTTGTAACCCCGGTAGCAGAATTTTCAGAGTTAATTTGCAACACTATCTTCATAATTTCAAATTTGTCTGCTACGCTAAAACAGTCAGATTGAGACTTTTATTATAAATACAAGGCTTATTTTGATTAGTTTATTCAAAGATAATTCCATGCAAAAATTTAAATTTTGGGAAATATTTTTTATTATTTTATTTAATAATCGAAAAAATTTTGAATTGTGCACAATTTCTTGCATTTACAGAATATAATTTTACACGGCAAAATACAAAATCTGAACAAAATCGGCTAATTTGTTCATGAGAAATTGAATTTCAAAAATTTCGATTTCTCAGGAACTATTCGACCGATTATGTTCATTTTCCAAGCATTCTTAAATAAAATAATAAAAATTTATAAATATTAACTCAAAGTTATTCTTTGCATTGAATTACCTTTGGATAAACGAAATTTATAATTGTGTGCAATAATTTTTCAAATGGGTCAGGAAGTTCTCGAGATAAAGCAAAATACGCAAAAAGTAAAATTAACATTAAGGGGTGCGAATCGCTTCTGTTTCTCTTAGATCTAAGTAATTGCAAATTAGAAAAATTATTGTTTGGAAATGAGCCGTGTTTGAAAGATTTTATCTTTCACGCCGACACCGCTGTTTCATGCTGTATTTCATATCCATAAATTATTAAAATTTTAAATATAATATTTTTCACTTACATTGTCCTAGATTAATACAAAATAATGAAAAATATGTTTAATAAAAGTTCAGCGTCAAAGGGTTAACTCTATTCTCTGTTATCTTCTGCTTGGACAATTTTCCATAATTTTTAAATTTGTATCTACTGAAGCAAAAATTAATAATAATTTAATGACCATTAATAGTAGTGAGATCATCATCAGCATTGGCACGACAGCCCTTTGTAAGCCTGGGCCTTCCTCAGAAGCTTTTCCCATTCTACCTTTCCAATTGATTTCCAGTTCTTTACTTTCAGGATGGCAAAATCCTCATCCACACAGTCTTTCCATCTCTTTTTGGACCTTCCTCTCGGCCTTTTATTGGAGGGGATTGCATAAAAGACTCTTAATGCTGTTCGTTCTAGGTTCATTCTCACTACATGCCCGGCCCATCTCATTCTACTTAGTTCAATAGATTTAATGATATCATCACAATTAAAGATCTTATATATTTCAAAAAGTAGTGAGATCATTGCACAAATATATAGAACATTGTAATGACTTAAGAAGAAAGGATAAATAAAATTTGAAAGGTAGGATTTTTTTTTAAAAATTAAATTCTTAGGATTGCACATAGTTGGTACTTTTATCTGATTATATTTTACTCATGTTTGTCAGTTAAAGTTTTAATTCAACTAAAGAGTATATCATCATTTCAGAAAATTTTAATACAATAATTGGCTGGGACTACTTCATTAAACATCTTAAGGTAAAGGATAAAACTGTTGAATTATTTATTGGAGTTAATGCTGGCCAAGAGAGATATCGTGGATTGGTGCCAGCGTAAGTTCAAAAAATTCATTTTTTAATCAAATTTGTTACATTTTGGAGTTACATAAAGCTTACTTCTTGCAAAATATAACATATTTACCAATAACACTTTCATTTGATTATACTATTTACTTACATCATCACTGTGTCAAAACTTAATTAATATTTATTTTTAATAACCATGACTAACTTTGTTGAATACTTAGGAATATTGGGAAAAACTTTAAGGGACACTAGGGGGCCATCACAAGAATTCAGAATGGCTCAAATTAGTTATGCTGAATTTAAATTTTCATAACTTTCTTAACTAAACTCAGTGGCTCGACAGACCATAGAGAGCCAAGGCCTACTGTGCCCATCTCAGTTTTCTTGACCTCGGGCTCTGGGGTGCAGGAGCTGATGTTCCGGTTAGGTGGTCAACCGAACGCGAAACTCCCAGTGTTTAGTTCCCAAGCATGCTTGGTACCAGGGCTCGAAAAAACTCAGAAATTTTACCCGTCCCCGAGGACGGCTTGTTCGACAATGTACCCGTCCTCCTTTGAAACTAACCCGTAACTTGTAAATAAATAAAAATATAATTTTCTCTTATTTATTACAAACATTTATATAAACTGCACAATGAATTAGTAGTTAATAGGATTACAAATAGTAGGATTATATTATACAGTAATAAAAGAAATACTAGGTTACTAATAGTAACCTAGTATTTCTTTTATGAAAGAATTTAAGAGACAAAGGTCAAGTTATCTGGAATGTCAATTTATCCGAGGGTACTGAGTTTTTTAAATGAGACGTTTGCCAGTTCCACAATCTCGTCAATGATTTTTTTGAGGTTTCTGCACATAAATCTGAAAGGGGTTTTCCATTTAGGTAGATGTTCATAATTGCGTTCAACGCTTCTTGTTTAAGACCAGTACGTAATGTGTTTTTTTATAAGTTCATTGCTGAAAAGTCTATTTTAACCGCTGCAGTACTCCCAGACAGAGAAAACATCAATTCCACCATGCGCAGTATGTTGCTGTAATGTGGGTCATTTTGCTGCAATAGGTCTTTATAAATAGCTTGGGTTCGGAGGGTTGAAGTTTTCTGGTGTTTAACGATGTTATGTATCTTAAATTTTAATGACACAAATTAAAATTTATATATATTCCAACAAAAATTGAAAATGTATTACGAATATTAAAGGGAAAAATGGCCGTCCGCGCGGACGTCGGATTCGAGAAATTCGTTGTCCGCGGGGAATCTTTGACCGCCGAGGACGGGCGGACGGGTGGTTTTTCGAGCCCTGCTTGGTACTCATTTTATCGACCCACTGAAGGGATGAAAGACTGAGTCAACCTTGCCCGGCCCGAGGATAGAACCCAGGACCTGTGGCACGGGCATCTTTCATAACTTTCATCCTGATCAAATATTGATATCTGATGCTTTCTTAAGCTGGCTTGTTCCATTTTAAACTTAAATTATAACTTCTATTTAATTCTTTTCTAGTCTTAAACCAATTTCAAATTTTTAAAATTTTTGTCTTCCTTTTAACTGATTTTGGTAAATTTATATCATCGCATAATGAAAGTTTACACGGAAAAAATTATTTAAATTGCTCATTTGCTATATTTCTTAAATCTCTTTATTACAAACAAGCTTGTTGCCAGATTGTTTGTGATGATGTTAGAATTCAGTAAAATTTCCAGAATGATCAGAATTGGTGGAGCAGGAACATTGATTGACATTTACCTTACTAATAAGTTGAAATCCTTAAGTAATAAGATCTTCTCCTAAAAGAAAAAAATAAAACTGTTTTGATGATCCAGTTACAATCTACTCAAAATTTTTACCACACCACATAGTATTCTTCATAGTCATAGTACGGAAATACCACATGGTATTCTTCATATTTTTGATATTGTTAATGTTAGTACCCTTAAGATATTTAAAAAAAAATTAAATTATTTGCGTATGATTTGCGACTGTTGGTCGCGTTTGCGGCTCTGAGCACTTTTGCGAGGTTTTACTCTTTTCCTATCTTACATTGAATTGTTCGTAAGACTTAGTTTCCAGTAGATCACCAAGGTCACTGGCTGTGGACAATGAACCAGTGGTGTGTGTATGTGTCAGTGTGGGTAGGTTGCCCCTGATTAGCTTGCGAACGGAATGAGGGTGTGCGATATCGATCCTCGTTAAATTCTTCTGTCGTAAAGTACTCGACTTTACACACAGATATCTTGGCTGTCAAAGCGGGGAGCCATCCTTTCTATTGAGGACCAAAACTATGATAGCGTGTCTTCAGATCATCCTTAGGTGTTTGCCAGACCACCCCCATTATCTCTTTTTGCTGCTCTAAAGCGATTTAAATAAAGTACTACTACAACTAATTCTTTTTGTATGCCTACTTTGTCCTTTCATTTTTTTAAACTTCCTGAATTTATTTTTATATTTATCTTAATAGTAAGTTAATATCCTTCAGTAATAAACTTTTCCCCTCGAAGAGCAACAGCATCAATTAAAAAAAATATTTATTGATAATGCTGACAGATATATTTAAAAAATATTTTCTTCCAGGGCAATTAAAAATGCACACGGTATTCTTCTGCTTTATGATACTGCAAGGATTCGTACCTTTGAGAAACTTGGAAAATGGTGTGAGACAATAAGGAAATTTACTCCACACGCAATCATATTCATAAGTATTTACTTTATTAATTATTTCTAGTATTTGGGTCGAGATAGCCTGGTTTGAAGGATGTTGGGCTCGTGTTCTTCAGAACATGAGTTTGAATCCCGCGGGCCGAATAATCCCCGTGCATCAAATACTGACTGATGCACGTTAAATCTGCCGGAGACACAAAGTTTACCAAGTTAAGATAAAAAAATCAGTACCTCCAGAGGTACTGAATTGGAGATTGAGCGTTCTCTACTTAAGGTTAAAATTACGATCTGTGTATGAATGAATTGGTTCTCCCTATAAAACGGGCTGTGACGTGTTCGTGTGACTTGAGTCGTATTCTTGGCCGTAGATGGTGCCACTGAGAAACAAGAAACGCACCCTCTACCTTGCAAATTGGCTATGATTTCCCATAGCAGGTTTTCAATTGGGTATTGCAGGGTTTCTGAAGTAAAAATACAAATTTAAATATTTTGCCGAGTAATGCAACGGTTGTTTATGACCATGGAGTTAGCGCAATCTTCAGTTTGTATCCCTTAGGCTTGATTCAAATTGCTCATGTTTGAAACTTTAAGACCAATAGTAACCGACCTACCCCCGAAGGAGTTTGCGGATAAGGGTTTCACCCGTTTGCACGTGACTAAACACTACCAAACTACAGAAAAGTAAAAGTACTAAATTAAAAAAGTTAAAACACATAGGAAAAATCCCGAAATCGAAAAAGTAAAATAAAAATAAAACAGAATAAAGATTAAAAGTGCTTAAAACATCAAAGTGGATAAAATCAACAGACAATAAAAGTGTCAAAAATATGGGTAAAAACATATAAAAGTAAGGTCAGGTAAAACATCAAATGGTAAAATATGAAAAATCACATTAAAAATAAAAAAGACTAAAATAAGCCCAGTAGAATAAATAAAATAATCGACTAAAAGTTCAAGTGTCTCCCTTTCAAGGCTAAGTGCCTCTAAGATTAAAATGTTCTAAGGTAAACCAAAGTTTCACTGAGATGATAACACTCAAAGATGGCACCAGGTAAGACAGAGGGTGATGAATTTGACCAAGAGCAAGATTTCATTTCGAATGTCCCATGTATAATGAAGATGCCAGTTCAAGGGGAGAATAAAGTCATGGAAACGGCAAGTGCCGAAGTAAAATACTAAAAGCAGAAATTTAAAACCAGAAAACCTAAAAGCCGAAAGTTTAAAAATAAAACCAGATAAAATTAGTCAGGTGTGCTCGCAGGGGCAAGCAGATCATCGAGGGTATATTTAAGAATTTCGATGATTTTCTCCCTGCAGTCAATATCAGCATAAAGTTGATGTTGAGTGTATTGATCCCATTTTCTGCCACGGATCCTCTGGAATTTGGGACAAAATTTTATGAGGTGGTCAATGTCTTGTACTCTGCCACAAAATTTACAATTTGCTCGTTTATTGAAGAATTTCTGCTGATATATTCCGAAAACTCCGTGGCCCGTTAAGAATTGGTTTAAATAGAAGTTTGACTGCAGGCGAGTTAGTGTGGGATCTTTAAAGAAATTATATGTCTGCCTGCCCTTTGTTGATTCACTCCAATCAATTTTCCATTTATTCATTGTGGCTTGCTTGATGTATCTAATAATGAATGTTCTTTCCACTGGGAGCATCGTTCCCACCCGGCTGAAGCCTGTGGCCTTTTTGGCTTGCTGATCCGCCTCCTCGTTACCTTCAATTCCAATGTGTGCTTTGACCCAGTAAAGTTTAATACTTGGTGTTATATTTACTTTGATCTCTTCAATAATCTTATTTCGATTTCTTGGGTCATTTAGACTTTGTAACGAGGACAGCGAATCAGTATAAATTTTCGCATCTTTGTAATTTTTGTTTTTGATGTAAATAACAGCTTGTTTAATAGCCTCCAGCTCCGCCAGATAAATACTTGCTTCATCGTTTAATCTATTGGAGATTAGATCGATTGTAAGTCCATTTTGCTTCACGACGATTGCGTATCCTACTTTACTCTGCATTGGTTCGCTACCATTATCATCA